AAGTTCACTGCGCCATGTGGTATCATCAAGTCTATGTGATGATTAGTTATATTGAAATAGAATAATGCAACGAAGGACTAAGAGAGGACGACTCGTCAGGAAACTACCAAGGAAAGACTGAACAGCAACAAGAGACATGCACTGTCGATTATGGGCACGGAGTACACACATGCATGCATAGTATGAGTAGTATGCTGTAAGGTTGTACGCACGTCCATGCAAGGAGATGCAGTACCATAATAAGAAACATGAGAGTGCAAATATGTACGATGTACACGGGTACACCACAATTTCCTTGGGTTTTTATTTGAATGGCACGACTTTCAGGGCTCCTTTTTTGGCCTTCATGAAAAATTGGTATTGTGAACTCGATTCCGCTTCATTCAAGAAGTAAAAATCGAAAAGAAGTCCTGAAAAATTAGAAATTTGGTCCAAAAATCACCCCTTCGCGGACCTGGCCTTATGACTCGTACCGTTCGCTGTTGAACAGACTGCAGCACGTGTCGTACGAACCGTACAAGATTTTGCTGCTCACCCCAGCCGTCATGACAACCCCTTACGTCCTGTAACGTCAGCGTTGCGTCGAATGAGCACTAGGCCTAAGAGAAATTTGTCAAAGACCAACTGGACAAATACCTCAACGACAAAAGCTCCCTACCACGCAATTTGCATACAGCTCCGGTCACTGGACGGAGGATGCCCTTGTGCGAGCACTGGACCGATGGAAGGACGCAACGTTCCAGAGGAGAACTACTGTCATTGTCATGATTGATATTTTGACCGAGTCCAACATCAATGCCTCATCACAGAACTGCATTCACTGGGGCTTTTTTTATAGTATGATCTTAGACTGTTTCATCAGCTACTTGTTGGGCAGTTGCCAACGGATAAAAGTGGGCGGAAGGCTGTCTCCTGAAGTTTTCGGCAGCAGAGGTGTGCCACAAGCAAGTGTCATCGGTCCGCTTCTGTGTGTTTTCTACACACACGCTATAAATGAAGTTCTTACCGTCATTATCAATCAGGAGTTTGCCGACGACATCGTCATTGACTTTCCACACCCAGACCCATTGTTCCTTGTTCAGACGCTCTTGAAAAGCATCACCAAGCTCGCTAAATGGCCGGAGGAACTCGGGCTCCTCCTAGACAAGAGAAAAACCCGAATCATGTTCCTAAAGCCACGAGGGCAGCCAAACCCACTTTTTCTCGTCCGCTGTAATGGAGATGAATTTGCCACGGTGTCCTCAGAAAGTTACCTTGGTATTACCATCGATGACGACCTGGACTGGCGTTCCCATATCCCGTAAATACTGTTATGCCCACGAGTCAATTAAGTCATTAGTTGATGCATTATTCATTTGGCCTGGGTAGCTACTTGCGCGTCCATGTTTGCCATAGCTACCCAGGCCCTTTATATTGCGTTGCTACTCTCTCAAGTCTCTCTCTTCAATAAGCTCTCTTCAATAATCTCCCTCTTCAATAATCATCATGTAGTCGTTTCGTTCGTCTTGGTCTCTTGTCCCGTTTCTAATAAACTTCGTTCCACCAACCTACTTGTTCCCGTTGTTAGTCTCTTGATCGGACTCATCAACACTCTCGGAAGGCAGCGAGCCGGCTTGCGCGGCATGAGGATACGCTGAGTCTTCAAACTCATCAGACGTGGTACCGTACCTTGCAATGATCCGGAGAAACTGTGCAGCGACCCATACTCCTTCTACCCCTCTCTCACTGCTCCGCTCAGTCTTGTGATTGCATAATCCCGTTGCCACCCAGCCCACACTGTGGTTATCAACCATTGAACAACTTTGGCGTCAGAAAGTTATTCTCTTCGTCTTCCGTTCTCCTCACTATACTGGCAAGATACTGGCGCAAGGTTTGAACACTCAACTAACTCACACACCTGATAAATCAAAACAAAGGGCATAGTGCAGAATGAACCCTACATGACACAACTATCACAATTATTTGCAAAGTCAATCACAATGAGAAGAAGAGTATAGTGTTAGACGCTAACCCTGTAGTGCAGATCTGGATGGATACGTCGCTTCAGAACCCCACACTTCTCGACTATGCCACACCCCAGCAGCCTTCCTTTCACCTACCACTGGCTGAATATTCAATGTTAGAAGTTTGTGAAGTATTTGCCTTGTGTACTTAGCAAATTTCAGATATTGACGTCGGACGTCCGTGATGATTTGTTGGCTTTCACAAGGCGTCTACTTTTCACCTATCTTTTCCCCGACCAGTACTCTTTTTGACGTGTAATCTAGCGCACCCTACTCCTGTATACCTCTCCCTCTCATTGTGATAGTTGTGTCCTGTAGACTTTATAACACCTCTATTTTGCATTATAATTTGTGTTGATTTGTCACATATGCGAGTTAGTTGAGCGTTGACAATCAACGTGACACGTAGCAGTGGGTTCAAATTCTGTGATTGGCGGTATTGTTGAACACACGGTGCAGAGGAAGAGGGGTGGGACACTATGCCAACTGAAAGTGCCTTCCCCATCGTTGCCGTTGCCGCCACTAGAACCACCACCAGTGCTGTTGGTGGCTGGGGTTGGCGTGGAGTCGTCAAAAATCCACAGTACCACCAATCATAAAACTGGGCCAATTTCGTTGACACAATATCTGGTCGTGCGGGCACCGAAAATCACTGCAGCGCTTGAGCCGTTGGAACAGAGACCGTGCAGTTCTCCTGCGAAGTACTCAACGGAGATATTTTCAAGGAATGGTCAAAGCCCACGCAGAGCAGCGAAGGAAAATATAAACCATCAGCAAGACGAAACACATTTTGGAGACGCTGATAAGCTACGCACAGAGACACGTGGAAGACGTAGCAGGGAGACTAACTGGCGGTGAAGATGCGTTGGATGACGATGCGGCGGATGGCGGCGAATCCGATGACGATGAGGCGGCTGCTGATGGCGATGAAAAGGACGTTAGGGAGTCAGGCGGCAGGGAAGGTGAGCGAGTTGATGAGGGTGAAGTTCGTTAGTACTTGCATTAATTTTGTTATCACGTCCCGATTGTGTGTGTGTGTACGACTCTCCGTAATGTGTCTTGCCCGTTATTTACAGCAGCCGGAGTTCCTGGAAGCTATTCGTATTCGTGCGCAAAAGCCTGATCTTTGTAAGCAAAAAGAGTATGTTGTAGCACTTGGGTTATTTTCGTGAGTCTACATCACTTGTTTATGATTTGGTCCGGCACTTTTCATGCCCACTTGTCACACTTACATTCTTTTTTTTCATAGGTCTCAATTTTGCAATACTTCTGTGTCATCTGTCAGACTTACTTGGTTTTTACCCTTTGCTTTTTGGCTTGATCAATTCAGTTGCTCCCAGGCTCGGCGTCATTTTTTCTGTGCTGCGCTGATGAGTCCACAAGGACGAAACAGTTCCGTCCGCAGATTGAGCATATCCCGTAAATCAATAATCTCTCAGGCTCTATCAGGTTTGACATTAGTTTCTCTGTGTTAGGCTGAGGAGAGTCCACAAAAGATGCGACAGTGCTGTTCGCAGATTGATTCATTCTAAAGTCTAGAAAGCTAAGGCCATCATCTTTGTCTAATTATTTCTGTTATTTTGCACGGCACAGACCAACGGTACTGACGTTCTACACCTAACTGGCAATCAGCTCTAGCACATCTTGGAACGTTCTAAGTTATAGAGGTAACACAAAGAGGGGAAGGTGAACGCAACGAAGATAAGCACCGGCCGAAAATCTCAGCTGTTAAGGACGTTGGCGGATGTACACGTACAGTCAACTTCGCCAATAACGACATTCGGCGGGGCATCAGAAAAGTGTCCTTATTCGCGAAGTGTCCTTATAACCGAAGTCCCATTTGAATGTATGTGAACCCATATTTTGTATAGTATGATATGCATATCAAAATCAAGCTCTTTTCTTGCTCTATGTCAATGTGTACTTTATTTTCATATTGCAGTTGAAAGGAACTAAAAATTCAATATGCAAGGGAAATCAATTGAAAAATATGCCTTTTTGAGCCATCTACAGGGCCAGAGACATGTACATTGTACATGTATGATGATTACTGTGCAATCATGTACAGCTACATGTACATTGCATACATATAGGTGTGCTGGTAAATCCAACAATTTTGAAGCCAACATAAAAAAGGAAGAAAAAGCCCCCCCCCCCCTTGGCTGCATTTTCTTGCATGTGTGCAATAATATCCATCACCAGTGCACCATACATGTAGGTTCTGGTACTTCTGCATGACAGGTACATGTACTTGACTGACAGGTACTTGAAATAGCTGTCAAAAGCCCAGAAAGTCGTTATTCAAGCAGTGAATATGACCACGGGGCACTAAAAGCATGTCGCTATACGCGAATTGTCGTTATTCAGATAGTCGTTATATCCGAAGTTAAATGTATACAGTTAGATGAGACTTTGCTCTGGGCATGGAAATTCGGTCGTTATTCGCGAATTGTCGTTATATCCGCAGTCGTTATTAGCGAAGTTGACTGTACGTCGATTACGATAAGGGCAAGACCTTTGGACAATACGGTCAAACCACGATACAAGGACGGAATGCAACATTCCACACAACTGGTGTGGCGCAAAGATGCGAAGATCAATTAAAGGGGAAGCTATGCGAACAGGAATCATGCGAAACCGGAGGCCTGAATAATATCTTCATCCTTGGTGCCTTGGTCCTTTTTATTTTCTCTAAATTGATCTTTGGCTCTCCATCCGAGTCAATTCTTGCACACCTGATGAGCCGTCCTCATCTATACGGCAAAACGTTCGTCGTATGAAACTGCTGCATGTTGTTCCTGCTTATGGTCTTCTTCTGGTGCTGTTTTATTGAGGCGTTCGGTTATCCTTGGTCCTTTTTTTCTTTCTATAAATTTGTCCGTGGCTCTCCATTCGAGGGAATAGTGTGTTTTCCAAAATTAACTTAAATGATTTGGTGAATTCAGTGCATTCAGTGAGGGTGCAGGGTAAGATTTTAAAATACAGAATAGAACTTACTCGTAGTAGTGGCTGGATCTGTAGGAATAACTGCAAAATATAACGGAGAAAAATGCACACACACACACACACACACACATACCAGCAAACAGATACCAGCACACAAAGCACATGCGTTATAGACAGAAAGACATAAGAATACTATGTCTTTCTGTTTAATATTACAGGGTGCGACAGAGCTCTCGGCCCACTACACTGCACTCTCAACCAACTAGACCCTCCTGCACACAATCAGTAGCACTGCGAGGACACTTCCGTTGACGATATTGAAAACGTGGATTCCTTCAGACAGCTGTTTCGATGATACATAGCTCATCAGTGAAGGTAGCTGTTGAATGATTAGAATAAGACCAAGCTGCCGTAATAGTGTTTTTCAAATACAAAGCTGAGCATTACAGTGTTATGCCTAGAGCCCAGCGGATAATGCTGGCATCATATTCGGCATTATGAGAGAACTATGGAGCATTAGAAAGGAACAAGACGAGCATTATGTGGGGTTTGAGCGGCATAACGAGTTTCATAGTGGATAATGTCGAGAAATATTAGTTTTTTGGGAACAATCGGTTAAAGTCATGAGGTGCAACGCCATGTATCGTATCGGCACATGACTTTGTGATTGTGTAGACACGTAACATCTTTAGCACTAATGCTTCATTTACCTGACTACATACATGTTGGTTGGTTGGTTGGTATATTTTATTTTACTTCGCCAGAATGAACAGGCATTGCTGCCTTCTTGCCTGGACAAGTGGATTGTCCAAGCTCTCACAAAAAGACGAAGAAAGGAAAGAAATATTACATGAGAGTGTGAAGCATGCAATCTTATAAAATAAAAATAATAATAAAATTCCATGAGAATGTGACGCATGCATGATGAGAGAGGAGAGATAGATTCGAGATAGAGATAGATAGATAGATAGAGAGAGAGAGAGAGAGAGAGAGAGAGAGAGAGAGAGAGAGAGAGAGAGAGAGAGAGAGAGAAAGAGAGACTGCTTTATTGCCTGGACAAGTGAACTGTCCAAGCTCTTACAAAATGACCAACAACAACAGCAACGGCAACAACAACAGCGACAACAACAACAGACAAACAACAACAGCAGGACTGGGAACAATAACGACAGCAGCAGCAGCAGCAACAACAACAACAACAACAACAACAACAACAATAACAACAACAGAGAGAGATAGATAGAGGGAGAGAGAGAGAGAGAGTGTGTGTGTGTGTGTGTGTGTGTGTGTGTGTGTGTGTGTGTGTGTGTGTCAGAGACAGAGAGAGAGGGGGGGGAGGGGAGATATGCGGATTGTTAAAATGGATTTCGACATGAAGTTAGGTACACAGAATGTTAATATGGGTAAAGGCTGGGCAAGTCGAGAGCCGTGGCTAGAGCTTTAAATGTCTGCCAATCACCTTCCGTACGGACTGCAACTGGGAGAGCATTCCACAGAATGCTGCTAGCAAACTGAATTGAAGGACGTCCAGCAGGACCAGGGAGGAACGGAACTCTCAGCAGGCTTGACACTTGACCCCATGTCGTCCTCAGCTGAGGTGTGGCAGGGTCGTTGATCAGCACGAACAGATTCTTTAACAGGGGACTTGTCTTGTCATTTAAACATTTGAAAACGAAGATGGCAAGCTTCTGGAAGAGCAGCTGTGGCAAGCTTGGCACACCCAGGAGCTCGAGAAGGGGGGCAGTCGGGACCAGAGTCCTTTGCTGCAGGGTCGCTCTGACACGGATTTTGACAGGCGGTGGAGTTTATCCAGGAGCTGCTTGGAAAGACTGGAGAAGAAACAGTTGGATCCATAGGACAGATGAGCCTGTATCATGCTGACATACCAGACTTGGCGTGCTCTTAGGCTCAGGGACCTGCCGTGTCGCCATAGCTGTCCAATTACTGGCCCGATCTTGCGTGTTACATGGCTGATATGTGGCTGCCAGGAGAGGTCATTGTCGATTACAACACCCAGGTATTTCGCAGATATTGTTGCTTCCAGGGGTTGTCCTCGACAACGTACATGTTCTTGAACATCAGCACCGCCTCTTAGCTTTACAAACAGAATTTGGGTTTTCTGGGCATTCAGAAGTAGGCCGATGTCATCTAGCCACTTGGCGAGGTTGGTCACTGCAGACGACAGAGACTCGCAGACTTGCTTGGGACACGCGTTGGAGCAATCGAGAGCGATGTCATCAGCGAATTCCTGATCTGCCTCATCGGGAGGCATCGTTGACTTGACGTAAGCAGTGTAAATTACAAACAGGAGTGGGCCTAAGACACTGCCCTGCGGAACACCGCGAGAGCAAGGAACAGTCCCTGACAACTGATCCTGCAATTTGATCTGCTGTGTCCGGCCAGACAGGTAACTGCAGAACCAGTTGAGTGCAGTTCCCGAGATGCCTAGGTTAAACAGTTTAGTAACGAGTCGCTCATGCCTGACGCGGTCAAAGGCCTTTGACATGTCGACAAACACGATGCCCGTATACTTGCGCTCTGCCCGTGCCATTTGCCATCGATCAACAGCAAACGTTAAGGCATCTTCTGTGGAGTGAAGCCTTCGGTAGGCGAACTGAGTAGGCGGAAGAAGTTGCTTGGAGTCCAAGTACTGCGTGATCTGATTTTTTACAAATGCTTCTGTGATGCGGGAGATAACTGGGAGCAGTGACACAGGGCGGTAGTTCTTTGGCAAAGCTGGGTCTCCACTCTTGAAGAGCGGACTGACGTGGGACAACTTGAAGGACAGGGGGAACTCACTGGAGGACAGGGATATATTAATGATGCGTGTAAGTGTGGGGGCAATGGTTGGATAACACTTTTTCAGGATGATGCTTGGAACTTGGTCACTGCCTGTTGCCTTGAAAGGGTTGACTGATTTCAAACTGCTTGCCACATCCTCGACTGTCACTACACTGAAGTCGGTAAATGCCCCTTCCGCCATTGGACCAGAGGGAGAACAGAGCTGAGGAGGACGATGGGGATCATGGACAACGTCACCAAACAGCTTGCTAAGATCCGATATGGGTACTTGAGCAGTGTGCGATTGTTTCTTCCGGCCAACCACAGTATTGATGACTGACCAAAGTTTACTTTGGTCAGAAGTCTGCCACTGCTGGATGAAATACGTGTTCTTCAGGCTCCTGTCCAGCTTCCTGGCCTTGGCACGAGCAGTGCGGTGTTGACTGCGGAGGTCATCATTGCAGCGGTTCTTCATGAGCAGTCGATGGAGTCTGTCTTGCTCCCGTACGCAGGCCACAAGTTCATCTGTTACCCACGGGCAGGGACGTCTATCCCGAATTCGCCTCATCCGCACGGGTGCATGCTTATCCAATGTTGACACTATGGAGGCGATGAAAGATGATGCAAGGGTGTTGACATCATCTATGGCGAGCAGAGAGGCCTGCTCTACACTGAGATCGCTGTTGAAGGTGTCCCAGTTTATCTTATGGATGCGGCGTGTAGGTCTGTAGCTGGAAGTACGGCCTGGTGCAAACCCTGCCACAGAGAGATTCCCAAGTACTGCAAAGTGGTCACTAATGTCTAGGTAGACTATCTCACAAGGCCCCGTCAGCGGGCAAGTTGATAGGAAGAGATCAATGATTGACTTAGTAAGGGTGGTGGCACGTGTTGGTGAAGACACATACCAAATTTGTTAAACAAGTCAGTTACTCGTATGGCCATGGGTGACTGGTTCATTTTCATATCAACGTTGAAATCACCCAGCATGACAGTTGCCAGAACCTTCTTACCTGGTGCATGAACTGATGCGTCTAGGTTGGACTCCAGGGAGGTCCAGAATGCTACAGGATTGTCTGGTGGACGATAACAGCATCCAACCAGCACTATGCCATCGGAAACGCTAACTTCTATCCACAGCAGCTCTAAGTCAGTCTCCAAGTCAGTGCGTCTTCGCGCAAGAACAGATTCATGGCAGTATATCCCAACACCACCACTACGTTGCTGCAATCTATCCTTCCGATGGAGCTTGAAATGTGGGATAGTAAGTTCACTGTCCAAGATATCTGGAGTGAGCCAAGTCTCAGCCATACCAAAGACATGAATGCCTCTGTTTGACAAGAACTTTTGCACTTCGGCTGTCTTGCGCCTGATACTACATACATTCAAGAAGGCAGTGTGCAGCATGGTCATCAGCAGGCATGGTTGATTTCAGAGCCATCGCTGACTGAGGGCGCGTGCACATTTGTTTTCACTTCCGAAAGGGATGCAGAGTTTGCTTGCGTGTCGTCACATGCTGTGGTTTCTGTGGTATCATCACTGACATCAGAGGCAGAGTACTTGTCGAAATTCCACTGTCTAGAATAGAGTGGTCTGGGCCAGAAGCAACGATCCAACAGCGTCTTGCTGCGCGATGCGTGGACTACCAGTCTCGCAGACGACGACTTCTGCTTCTGAAAAACTTTACAGTCGAGAATTTTAATAGGGGGAGTCTTCAGCTCCGACGAGCGACACTCCACGAAGCGTGCTAGCTGCTCCGGTGAGGCATCGCGCAGCAGATTGCCAACAAACACAACACTTTTCTTGACAGGTTTCCTGGCTGTCACCAAACGCCAGGCAGCATCTTCACTGTCGTCATCGACGTCTGGCAAATTGGCCTCACTGACTGCACTGGCTGCATAAGCTGAAGTTTGAATGTTGGTGTTGGTCTTGGAGTTCGAATTACTAGTACCGTAAAGTACCGCCAGAGCGCCCCGTCTCGCGAGAGCGCCCCACCTTGATTTTACAGCCAAGGGAAGAAAATCGTATGGCAGAATGCTACTAAGTTTGTACGATGTGAGAACCTTCGTGTACTAAGGTCACACTTGGCATGTTTTTATGTGGAGCTCGAAGGTAAACTGGGTACGGATTGACTGCACAATGTGCAATGTTTGTACAAGGTCCGTGTCGTATGACCTACAGACAGGAATCCACCTCCACAAGGCGGCCACGAAAGGACGAGATGGTGGGGCGCTCTGGCGGTACTTTACGGTAGTTTGAACGTTCGACGTGACACCCACGCGTTGGTGATGATCCAGGTCACTGAGGTCATGTCCTGGTACGGTAGGTCCGCTCCCGACTGGAATGTGACACGTGGCCGCAGCATCCTGCTGGGCCGGACCAGATGAAGTCAGTTGTAGATCTACTACGGTATTCGGGTTGGTTTCGGACTCAACGGTTGGGCAGTTAGTAGCATGGCGCCTCTTTCTTTGCGACTTGCTCTGAGCCTGAGAATCTCCAACCGTAATGGCGGAACTTCCTGAACTTGGAATGTTTGGTGCGCTTGATCTGGATAGCTCCTGAACGGTCCTAGATAGCTGGTCGATATGGCTTATCAGCCTTTTCTCACGGTCTGCAGCAGCACTTCTTTCGGCATCAAGCATATCCATTATCACCGCCAGAGCGTTGTGGAAATCGCGGCAGCAGTTCGACGTGGGGAAACGATTATCTGGGACATCGCACGGCTGTTCGTGCTCATCGCTCTCTACTGCGGCCATGGTCGTGGAATCCCTGTTTGCAGACATGCTTGCAACAAAAAATCCGGGTCAGAGACCCCAAAAGTAACCTAAAAACGATACAATAAAGGGAGCTGAAAAACATGCATCCTACTCTAAAACGTTTCAAAAGAGTGTGTAATGCTATTGCTAAATGAAATCTTTATGTAGCAATGTGGTCAGTTAAATGTACAGACGATGTAGCAAGCCCAAATGAGAGAAGTTCTGTTATAGAAATCATGGAGAGCGATGGAGGAGACTAAACGTACGCGAATTGAATATCAAACAGACGGAGAGGATATTTCCTGTTATGCCATAGGCTCTGGCCAAAGCATCTCTAGCGATACTGAAGTAAACACTGATCCATTGATAAATTTGGACCTGGTTGAAGGAGCGGGTATGAACAGAAAGAGGTTGTTCCAAACAACTGCCTTTGCCGAGTCCAGCTCAGCAGGCTCGAAAAGAACTAGAATATCTCATGGACGCGGTACCAAGTCGATTTCAGTGCTCAGGAGCGCGTGTATTACTTTCCTGGTGAAGCACGTACAGTTCGTGGTGAATGATTGTAATGCAAGCAAGGCCTACAGTCTGAGATCGTCTCTCAGGAACTGGCCTCACGCGAGCTGTTTCAGATGAAGACATTTTTCACAGTGTGGAAGCAGTGACAGCTTGTCTGCAGGCAGGAATACCACTTCCCATGATAAGCTTCTACCATATTTCTGATCACCAGCAATAATGTTTCACCTCTCATTATTATTATTTTTTTACTATTGAACACTCACTGCATGATGAACTAAAATGAGGAGGAGAACTCATTACATGGATAAGCAAGGAAAAAAGATTTGATACACCTACTATTAAGGCACAGCCGTGCAACAAAGTTGCAATGGAGAGCAGCCAATGGAGACGAGATCCTGTCTTAAGTAAAAGTAAAGTAAATTATCGTGTCCGTTCCCGAAGGGAACTCACGACGGCCGCTAACACCCGGTAAATCCTAGCGGCAGATGCAGCGCCTAACGGTGGGGGTGAGTGGATAAGTCTCACAACCACTGGCACAAGTGCCGAGAACGACCCCATTAGCTGCATCCATGTACCCCTTGTGCCTGGCCACAAGTTCCCAGTTGACTGTGGGTAGCAGCACGGCTGGAAAAACCGCTTCCAGGCAGGACTTGAACCAGGTACCTCTCGTATCTCAATCATGGTCTTTGACCAACCCACTGTGCCTGCCTGCCTAATCCTGTCTTATAGTGCTACGAAGTTGTGGTTGAGCGCGTGAGAGATATTGTAGCAGCTTCAGAGGCAGATCGTCTAAATGCCTCCTTTCCTGGAAGTTTGACAATGTGCAGCCTTTGTTCCATATTTGTTCCAAACCAAGAGCATTATAGCCCTTGTTAAAGCATTCTAATCAGCATTACAGGGTAGTTTTTGGAGCATTATGATTAGCATTATACGAAAATTTTCGGAGCATTAACCGCTGAACCCTAGTTATGCCCGGGGGGGTCGTGGTTCGTGAGGTGAGTGTACAGGCTTTAATGGCGCTTTGACAAGTACAATACACAGACTCTCATTAGCTACACAATGCACTGATTCTGGCAAATTATTTCCGCTTTGAAAGTCATAGTTTTTTTATTTTCATAATCTGGGTTTAATACGATATAATTATACAGCAATTCACTTACGTTGACATTGGCCGATGGTCCATTGAAAGTTTTGTCCACAAACACAGTTGACAGTTGCCATTGCCATTCCCACTGCCGGTACTTGATTACAATTCACCACATTAGTGTCATTGCATTCCAATATGCAACCTGGAGGGGAGACATGGAAAATGTCTTATATTACCTTCGACCTTGTGAAGATTGGCATCGGCTTCAGGTGACATCCTCCATCGAATTTTCCAGCCCCACCATGACTTGAACCAGGACCTTTCTTGTCCGGAGAAGTACTCTAACCATCTAAATCATGGCGCCAGGCCAAACCTAGAAAGTGCAGTCAGGTTTTCACTCCCAAATCCAAATGTGAATGTTGGTTTGTTTGGAACTGATACTGGATATTCCTTAAGAGGGCATGTCTGAGAAAACCGGAAAAGCTGCGTTGGGTCATATCTCCGATTTTGCTCAAAATTTGCAAATATATTTACTTTGGGGTCTTCAACAACCATGCGAAAGGGCTCGTTGCATACTGTCGATCAACCTGATCAAATCCGTCGATCTGCTATGTCACGCGGTGGTCGGCACACGGCCAGTTTCAGGACGCAAAGTATCGTGTGCTTCCATCGCACTAATCGAGGTTTGTTCATTTTTTGGCACTCCTGCAGAGCTTTGCTGCTAGTGAAATTTGAGTCGTTCAGGGAAGGACATGGTTGTTGTTTGGAGTGACAAGGTTGTAATTTCAAATTTCTTGTTAGACTCGGTAGAGGTGACCACGCTGCAGTGATTCGCGTGCTGGCGTCTGGAGCGGTGCCTGGTGTTGGAGCTTGAGGAAGCCCTTTCCGTCTTCGGGTAGGAAATTAATTGGCAATGTTTAAATGTGGTGAAGTGAAAATATTCAAATTTGTTTATTTCCAGAAAACGTGGAACGTTTTTTACGAGACAATGTCCAGGATGATAGTGGAGATAGTCCACTGTCATGCAGTGCATGGTTCAGAAAAATAGACGCCGTAAATGGTTCTCGCTATGGCCCTTGAAATTTGGCTATTTTTTCGATGCAATTTAGTGATATTTGAAGATAATGGCCATTGCTTTCCTGGATGAAGCCATCGCTTTATTTGGTGGTGATGTGAAGACTACTCAGGTGAGGTAATGTTGGCATGGTGGTGGTTTGTTCTCAGCTCCATCGTGTACGCTTTACCAGCGCTCGTTTTTAGACCCAATATTCAGTCGTATTTTGGGCCAATTTCGAGGTGGTCCTCAGTTCCAAGGTGTCCGTAAGTTATGCAACGAGCCCTTTCGCATGGTTGTTGTAGACCCCAAAGGAAATCGACTTGCAAATTTTGAGCGAAATCGGAGAGATAGCCCAGCCCAGTTTTTCAGGTTTTCTCATACATGCTGTCTTAAATATTTTGGTTGTCCTTGCATCACTGGTATACTTCCAAGTAAAGACTTACTTTCACACACTGGTTGCCTTGGTTGCCACCTTCCATTGCCCTGGCATATAGACTGGGTTATTTCCATACTATTGTTAGACAGAAAACCTGTTCTGCACTCGATGGATACTGTGTTACCTGGTAGTGTGTTGAAACAGGAAATAGGTTTGTAATTGAACTTGGTGTCAGTGAGAGTAGGGCATTGCGCTGGGAACAAAGAGACAAAATTCAATGCAGTTACTCTCAATGAGTGAACACCACACAACTAAAACCATATCAAAGAGTTGGTGGAAAAGCCGTTGAATATCCATTCTCATTGTAATATCAATAAATATTCCTTCTAGACCAAAGAGTGGTGTATTTGAAAATTGATAAAGATAGAAATATTCACGATACTTCTTTTCGTTTTTCTGAACAACATCGTCAATGGATAAGGAATGGAGGGCTAAGGTGAAGGTTAGGTGCGGGTCGATACAGGTTCCCACCTGTACCGACCCGCACCTAACCTTCACCATTAACTTAGATACATCTATTTCCCACCTTCACCTTCTCACCTCATCTCACCACCATCACTCCCTATTAACCCGTGCCACCACCCAAAGCCCTCCATTCCTTATCCACTGACGATGTTGTTCAGAAAAACGAAACGTCTGGAGAAGTATCGTGAATATTTCTATCTTTATTAATTTTCAAATACACCACTCTTTGGTCTGGAAAGAATACTTTTTGATTTAACCACATCTATGATGGTCCATAGAGATAGAAGCAGACAAAATTTTGCTAATAACACGGAACATGGGTATACCCAGACCTGCTGCACTTGTCCATGTTCTGTTGAAAACAAATAATTCACAGACCTCAATAGGACAAAAATAGGTGACAATTTGACGAAACCTTGAAAACGAAAAACAACCCGTGTTAACATGACAGGAAAACAACAACTTCTGGAATGGGAGAGCATGCACGGTTTTGTAAGAAGTGTGCTCGGTCTGCGTGGGTAATCGTCATGGAGAGATGACCGTCCATCAGTACATTCACCATGATGATAGATGACTTCATAGCTGGGAAGACATAGTGGGTTGTTCAGTTATCCCGACATGTTAGCCAAAGTTATGTACTTAAAGTAGAAGGAGATGGAAGATGAGGATTCTCAATAGCTTCAGTTGCAATGCCCGCAACCCAAAAGTAGCAACAGTTTGCAGATAGTGCAGTGCCAGAGGTTGCCTCACTTTGTTCAGTTCATCCCTGGATGATTTCTCCTTGGCCACGTGCGTACGAGGCACAGGTGATAAAATGTCTCGGTATGCCTGGAAAGTGGCCGGGTGTTGTGCATTTCCGGAAGCACTCTCAACTAGCTCTATACTCAACATACGATACCTGTGCACATCAGTGCTGTGGATTGTGATCTGCATGCATCTCTGACCTGTACATTTGACTTCATAGTCTAATATTTTCAAAATTTACCGTTGACGTTTGATAACAGTCTGCTTGAGGAACTTCAGCAATCGGGATATAGATTACGATAGATGTCTCATGCTTGTACAAACTCCAAGCACGACGGCATCAGTGAATCTGCATGGGTCATGACGTATACATGCATGTGTATTCTGTCCTCAGACTCCTCACATACAACGGAGGTGAACGGCTGTGTACCCGTTACAGCAAGTTTCACGGATTTCATCCAGCACCAGACTGCAGTATTTGGCATTCACCCTGAATGCCTTATGCTACTATTTGATGATCGCTGAATTGCGTGCAACTTGAAGTTACAGCTACACAGCCTTTCGCCTCCGTTGTATGCGTATACGGTTCTGCTTCGAGCTGCCTCGACTGGCCCTGTTTGTCTTATGGGAGGGATAGTGCAATAACAACACATCGCATATGTACCATGCTTGCCTGAACTCAGTGTGTCACAATATTGCAGAGCGCTTCAATATTCACGCGAGGACGCGCAGAAAATGCCACATAGATAAGCTAGGGGCTGTTGACATTGCCAAAACTACAGCCTAAACTTTGTAGACAGAAGGAATTTGTTACGAAACTACAGTCCATTTCAAAACTATAGACGCGTAGGGTTTTTGAAATAATTATTTCAAATTTGGCTGGAACTTTTTGAGAATAGTTTTCGGAATATTGCTCAGGTTCGCTCCACAATTACTCTCATATAGTTTCTAAACGATTTGATAACAGACGCCCAATTTGGGAAAATTTATGCACAAAGTGATCACAGATTTTATGTGGTATAGATGCTGGCATAACGGTTTTTGCCTAGGTACGCGTCTATAGTTTTGAAATGGACTGTAGTGCTATTTTGACCTCCTAGCTCTCTGTTACAGTTTGTGTACTTTTTGGTGTAACTCATAACATCAATCATCCTGTGTATGTT